AACTTCAAAGTGTTTTGGGATTCATTAAATCCCTACAAAAACTCGGGCGGTCAAAGGGTGCAGGGGACTGGATACTATGAGCTGGATCACTACCTTACGTCGAATTTAGCCGTTACGATTGCACGTCCACCTCAACCGCCACTCAATTTCGATGTGTTAGATTGGTGGTCAAGAATGGAAGGAATTTTTCCTATTCCATGCATTATGGCCAAGGAGATCTTTGCTGTCCCAGCATCTACAGTCGCGGTTGAGCAAGCATTCAGTGAGGGCGGCTACATGCTAGATCCACGACGGTCGAGGATGACGCCTGATAATCTTCAAGCACAAATGTTACTGAGTGATTGGAAGAAGGCCGAACGAAGGATGCAAACTGCTATGCTCACTTCGAATGAGGAGGAGGACGACAACGACGAAGCATCCGATTTTACGTCGTCGACAAGTGGAACCGGGGGGGACGTCGAAGACGAATACGAATATTAAAGGTATGCAGCCAAGGTATGTGTTTTAGAAGAACTACGTGGACTTTGATTCCCAAATAAAGGGATACGTAGGCACCTTATTTAACATTATTAAGTTCGAGTATAATTTTTTGGTAACAAAATTTTTCATCGCACACGATATTCGAACTTAATAACTGTTAACTAAGCTCAAGTCCATTTCATTAATAATTTTTTTCTTTACACTTAAGTTGTACTTCTCCGCCATACTCAATAAAATACAACACCGTTAACCGTTTGACGTACAAACTTATACAAAAACTTATATTTTCGAAGTATATACAAACTATTTATTCAAATAAACATTAATATATATTAAAATAACAAAAAAAAGAAAAAATAAAAAATAAAAAACCCGCAAACCCGCCGGGCCCGACCCGGAACCGAGTCGACCCGCCGGGTTTGCGACCCGGCGGTTAAGGGCCGGGTTTGCGACCCGGCCCTTGGTTACAGGCGGGCCGGGCCCGGTTCAACACATGGTGAACCGGCGACCCGGCGGGCCGAACCCGGCCCGGCAAATGGCCACGTCTAGTTCAAATAGTACCACTTTTTTGTGTTTTTAATTTTTTTATTTTATTTTTTTTTATTTTTTATTTTTTACTGTATTGGAAGTTCAATTAGGGCTGCAAAACTGAGCTGAAATTCATTGGATGAAATGGAATTAGAAAATAGAAAAAATTACTAACACAATCTTCAATTCAAGCATAGTTCCTTTAAAAAAAAAGTTATTTTTGATTAATGGGATAAAATGAATTAGAGAATTGACTAATACAATATTCTACATAGTTCTGTTAAAAAAATTAAAAAATATAATAAACAAAAAATATCCACGAGACAAAACCAGAAAAAAAAAAAATAAAAAAAAAATAATAATCCAAATGCCCTGCCCTTCACAAACACTGTTGAAAACAAACTGTTTGACCCCTCCGAAATCTGAATGATGAATATGTAAAACAGTAAAAGAAGCAGACTTTCTTCAGCTTAACAATGGCAGCTCAAATTCAAACAATGTCGCTCACAATTTCCGATTTTCTTCCGACCCCATCTCCGAAGACAGTAAGTAGTTTCCGTTCGAAAAATGCCCATTTGCTTTCCTCTCAGAGAAAATGCGTAGCCCCTTTTCGCTGCGTCTCTGGACTCGCTTGCCACAGTTTCTCCGTCGATGAAATCTCCGGAGTTTTTCACAACAAGGTCTAGTTTTTTTTTATCTTTTTCTTTTTGGTGGATTGAGGTATTTGTTCTCAAATGGGGGTTTTACTTTCCTGCTTGAATTAGTTGTTTTTACTTTTTCTTTGATGTTTAGGTTTTCTCAAATGGGGGTTTTACCTTTTATTACATGAGTGTGTTTAGGTTTTGGTGGCAGCTGGTTTATCTGCAGCAATTGGGCAGTTATCTAAACCTTTTACTTCGTCTTTATTGTACGGCAAGAAATTTGATTTGAAGGGTGTTGTTCAGGCTGGAGGGTTCCCATCTACTCATTCTTCTGTAATGTTT